TTTACTACAAGGAGAGAGGGGACGGGAACCGAACTTGTACATTGCACAAAATGTGAAAACTAAACGAAAAAATGCAGACGTTGCTTGATGGTTTGTGGCGCCTCTGTTTGAGACTTTTTTTTCGTCCTCCACCCGCCGATCGGCGTTGTTGTTCGTGGGTATCATCAGTGTTGCGCTTGTTTTCTTTTGTCATGGTGAATCTTTCGAAGATCACGTTGTTTCTCCGGACACTTCGGGGGGGGGGGGAAGTGTCGGTTGTTTCTACTCCCCCCCAGCCTTTGCTTTCTGCTTGGGGGGGACATCAAGCCAAGACGGCGACATCGCTTTCGTTGTGTAACAATAAGTTTTCGGGTAATAAACGATAAAAGAGTGACTAGACATCATGTTTTTCCCTTTAGCGCCGCATGACTGCTGCGTGCGATCGGAGCTCCTCACAACGGCTTGCTGCTGTTGCGTGTGTTTGTTTCCCAATTTTACTGTCATCTTTTGCACACCCCTTTTCTGCGTTTCCAATGGTCTTGGAGTGCTTGGAAGCTAAAAACGTGGCGTTTTGTTTTGGGTTCGTGCTACATGTAGTTAGCACAGCACCGCATAGATACCTACGAAGCGGCAGTTAGGGGGGCGTGATAGCGTTCGGCATTAGTATCTCACGCTATTGTACTAGCCTTGCATTGGCAAATTAACAGTCGTTAATGCTCTTTTAATCTTGGGTAACACTTCCGGTGTGGCCGGGATTTTTTTTCTCAAAAGCTGGAGAGATGTGTCTCGCGCCGGATGGACGACGCGGCAAAAATCATCCGCGGCACATGCCTACTGCTGTTTTGTTGCTGTCGTTTTCTTTCGCTCAGCGCGAGAAGGACAGAGCGAGCAGCATTAGCAGTTGGTCGGCGGTTCCTCCCAGAAATTTCTTTCGGGCCGAGAGAGCGCTCTCTCTCCTCTAGTTCACTGCCAGGCGAGAATAAATTGCGACACCAACCTAAATAGATTCGAACTTATCATCCAGAAACTGGTTCAACGGCGGGTGCATGCATGCATGCTCCCGTGTGTCGTGATGATGACGCAAGCGTGCCACTAAACGATGCCGGGTATTCGGCGAAATTGGATCCTCATGTGAGAAGACGCCAGTCTCTCTCGTAATCGAGACAATGCTGCTGTTCCATGTATAGATGACACGGGATTGCCGGCGAACCGAACCGGAGAAGACGGTCAACCCCAGTGAACGGCGTACAATAGAGATCAAAGTGTTTGCAGCACACCCCTCGCCTTCACGTGATGCGAAAATCCAGAGCCCTTCTCTCACAAGAAACAAAGTCAAGCCGAACAGCCCAGGCACGAACTCTGCAGGACCATTGTATTCTCTCAGCAAGCATTCACCCATGATGAACAGACGCAGCGCATCCCTCCGGGCATTTGGATTTTATCTCGAGACGGGCACTACATCCTTCTGTGATCTCTGATCAGATGTACATTAAACATGCTAAAACTAAAAAATACGGGGAAAAAAACTATGTTGTGGCGGGGTTATCGTGAAAGGCGTCGGGCTTTAGTTGAGGCCGGGGAGGTTTTGTTTCCCTTACAGTGGGGGGCCCCGGATGAGGTGGTCGTCCTGTATGAGGCGGGTGAGAGACTGTCTGTGGCATATACGGAAGAATCACTAAGCATTCGAGGCGGCTGCCCCTTCCTGATAAGGCGGTCATTATCAGCTGCCACATCACTGTCTTATTCGGGTACCCACACTGCTGTACCGTAGGTGGTCTGGTCGATGAAGTCGGGACTGATGTCTTTGGAAGCTCGGGTGAAAAAAAAACGAAAGAAAAGCAGCAGCAGCTTTTGCTGCTGCTGCTTTGATCGAAATGCTCAGTTTTACGTGCAGAGCCCGTCTAGCGGCTTAGGTTCCACCTCTCATCATGCCGAACACGCTTCGCGAGGGAAAAAGAACACCCCCTGGCTGCTCTGCTCCTTACCGCCAAAGAAAAGCTGTCTTCTCGCGTTCGTACGACCAGGCAGGCCAGGCCCGACAACTCAGACGTTGAGTTACCCAGACGTACGGCACCATCCCACTTTCTCTATCATCTGCAGATCCGACAAGCCAGCCCCGTATCTACTTCTAGAACATGAACAACAGGCCAAGAAGGACAAAATGAGAGAGAAGAGATTCCGCCAGGTTACATCAAAGCCAAAAAAGATGGATCTTCTAGGCGACAGACATCCTGTTTCGTCTCATGATCTCCAACTCACCCAAACCTTCCTCCCCCATCAGAAAAAGAAAGCAAACACACCACACACACGCAAGCAACCGCAACACCCCAAACACTGGTCGATTGCAGCGGGAGTGAGTGAGTGAGTGAGTGCGAGTCCCCCCCCCCCCCCAAAAAAGTTCAATACACCGCCAAGCTGCTGTCCACTTCCTTCGCCCATCGAATGATCCCACCGTCCATGTTGAACAGGCGAGAGGAGGAAACGCCGTGCTCGCTCAACGTCCCGCAGGCCTTGGAGCTCCTACCGCCCACCTGCCCATTTCGGTAGCGGCGGGGGACACACAAAGAAGCAGCGGCTCCAGCAAATTAACTCATTCCACGCCACTTTTTCTCCTCTTCTTCTTTTTGAAAGTGTGTCCTTTTCTGGGTAATTGGCCTCCTAAGCCGCCCGCAGCAGTTGGACCGGTACGAATCGTTAAAGGCACTGAGCAGAGACCGGAACGGGTTGATAAATGTCGAGGCGCAACAGCAACGACAACCGGCGGTGTAACGAGACAACGTGCTTCGCGCAGCCAGCCACAGCAGTATGCTGCCGATGTGCAAGGCGCACGTGCTTGCGCTTAGAGGGCACCCTTGTGTGAGAGGAGCAAAACACACAACATGCCCGAAAAAAAAAACAGTAAAAAAAAAATAGTAAAAAATGGGCTGTGCCCTTGCCTCCCACGTGGGTGTGCGTCAATAGCGGTGGGAGAGGTCACACCACCATGGCCTATCGACCGCCTTGAACCTTCTACGTTGCATGAGTCACCATGCTCGCGGAAATTCTGCCGCTTCAGCGTGTGGTACTCTGGTCGCGTTTCCTTCCTTAGCAACTACTTTGGTTGATCATAAAAATAGCTCTTTTTTCTTCTTTTTCTTTTTTTGTCTCTCGGATGGCAAGCACAGGCCGCCGGCGTACCGGCCGACCCCGGCACGGACCACATCAAACGAGGGGACACGGGGAGGGTCAGAGTCTCGTCAAAAAGTTCGATGGGCCTGGACAGCCAGCCTTCATATGTGAAAAGCCACCGATCGACCCACCTTGCAGTGTACCAGCAAGTCGCCCTCGGAGGGAAGCTGGTCGAGGATAGTGGCCACCTTGCGGTGCGGGCACACGAGGTCCACGAACGGCAGGCTCGCGATCTCCGCCTCCTGGGGCAGCCTGCGCAGCCATGGTTCGTGAGCGCAATGTTGAGGGCTAATGTCAAGGGTTAGTGTTTCAGCCGCTGTTCGTGGGTGCAACGCCTGAGGGGTAAGTGTTACAGGGTTGTTTGGGGCAAACGCAGAGCCTGCGGGGTGGCAAACGCTCTCACGCAAGAGCGCTCGCAGGCGGGAGCAGATAGCCCGAGCTGATTCCTTGCGCCAAGAAAAGACGCTCCAAACTGCAATCGCATGCGGTCACTCCCATGCAGCAACGCCTGGGGTGTCTCATTGCAATGTCATGGATGTCTTGCAAACACCCACACACACACAAGGAGGATGATTGAGAAAGCACTCCAAAACGAACTCGAGTGCAAGGTAGCAGCCTTGGCAGACATGTGCAGTTTTCTTCTGATGCTACAGCCGTTTCTGTCTTTAATCCGGAGAATAGCTAAGCCTCCCCCATGCCGCCCCCTCACGAGGTCCGAGTTCATGGCAGTTAGAAAAGCGTTTTCTATTGTCAACCGCACTCACTGAGACTGACGTCTTTTCATTGGTCAGCCGGTTAGCGCGGTCGATGCTAACAATAAAGACACACAAGAGCGCGTAGGCCACGCACCGCGCGCAGAAAAAAACACACAGCACACAGCACACGACGTCCCCCCAACAGCGACGCTACAACCCCAGACCATAGCCCAAGCCCACCTAACGTCTAGCACGAACGGCGCCCAGCCCCCTTGCATCCTCGACACGACTTCCTTCGGCGAGACTCGCTGAAACCCCTCTTCCACCTCCTCCTCCTCCTCCTCCTCCTCCTCTTGGGCGGCGGGTGTCGCCGCCGAGGTTGACGTTGTCGTTGCCGCCGAGAAGCCGCAGAAGCCTTGGTAGTCCACCAGGGAGGTCACCGCCGGCCGCCCGGGAGTTTTTCGTAGGTCAGACTCCTGCACCGCACAGGGGGGGGGGGGGGGGGTTGGTTGGGTGTTGTGGTCGTCGTCTTTTAAAACATGTACAAGAAAAGACTTTAGCCGTCTTGGGCGGTGGTGGTGGTGGCATTGGTTTGTTGTCGGTGTTGTCATACACAAGTCCAGCGTCTGCAGGGGTAGGACGTTCGATCATGATATCTCCATGTCGATCATGATACAGCAGTGGTAGTCCCGACGTACCTACCGCGGTCCCGACTGGTGCGGGTGGGTTCAGAAACACCGCGGTAAGAATTCGCTTGTCACGGGACTTGTCTACGATAATACTAAATGCTATGTAGATATCCCCAACACTCAATAGTGCGGTGTCCCGATACACATACCGCGGTTGTATTTGCTTGTCACCACACTGTACACCGCGGTATATCGGGACCATCAACTTATTGCATGATGCGTCAGGAGCGTTGCGCAGGGGAGGGAGTCGCGAAGTGCGCATGCATGCCTAACGGGGGGTTGTCAGCGCCACGCAAACCGTACACCCTCGTGATCCCTATCAAATCGAGTCGGAGAATAGAATTTGACTGACGCCGATGAGCAGGGGGCTAGCGGGGCGTGAGAGCGCGGAACACCGAGAGGTGTTCCGCGAATGGCACCCACCCGGCCTACCGGTGGGTAGTAGGAGATCTCTCGCTCCTCTCCCTCTCTCACTGTCGTGTCTCAGACCCTTGTCTGTCTGTCTGTCTGTCTGTCTGTCTGTCTGTCTGTCTGTCTGTCTGTCTGTCTGTCTGTCTGTCTGTCTGTCTGTCTCTCTCTCTCTCTCTCTCTACATACACACACACATATCCTATCTCTCGCCCCGACGAATAAATGAAGTCTACCGCACGCGGTTTCTCGTGGTGTCTCAATGAACGATGCAGAGGAGTGGCACTTGGACTACGGGAAAAAAAGCTTCACAGAGGCAACATACAAACAAGTTGCACAACCCCCAAATCCACAAAAAAAACAAACGAAATAAACAGAGCAAATTGCGGAAACACCCCCCAAACACTATCGTATCAAGGGATGCTGTGCACATGACCTTGAAGGACATCTTGAGGGCGTCGTACACGAGCAGCCGACCAGAAAGCACGTCTCCTTTGCCCAGCAGGATCTTTATGACTTCCGTCGCCTGTTTATATACGACGAGTCAAGAGCATGGGGTATGACTTCTTTTCTTTTGCAAGAACGATAAGCTTGCGCGGCACAGGGCGTCAGGGCGTGCAAGAACGACAGCGACGTCGCTACAAGGTCATCGTTGACGCTGCTGCTGCTGCTGCCTGTGGTTGACAAAAAACACGTCGGTTGATGTTGTTGCTGCATGTGGTGCTGGTTGCCGTTGTACAGGTGCAGCCCATCTCCAAAAAAAGCCTCACGGTGGCGAGCCAAAAAAGGCCCAAGCCAAAAACACCAAACCCTGCCACCACCACTACCCAAACCGCAACCACGTCACACGCACGAAGAGCAAAGGCGCGACGTTGCAGCGCAGCGCAGACGCCGCCAGAAATCAGCACCTGTATGCAGCCCACGACCCCGGGGAGAATCCCGAGCACGCCCCCCTCGGCGCACGAAGGCACCAGTCCCGGGGGTGGCGGTGTCGGCAGGAGATCTCGGTAGGTCGGTCCGCCCTTCGAAACAGCGACGACGACGACGACGACGATGAAAATAATTAATATTTGATTTTGTAATTTGTTTGTTATTGCTGCTATTATTACGGCACCATGGCGGCGGTAGCGGCGGTAGCGGCGGCAGCGTAAGAAGAACAGTTCTCCGGGTTCAAAAGTGTTACAATGCGATGCAATCGACCGCACGAGGGAGACGGGCAAAAGAAGGATTCCTTTGAGATCGCCCCAAGAAGGAAGGTCGTCAACGCGTGGACTACCATGTTGCAAAACCGTGGTAGGCCACTCTTCCCCGGCAGAAGCACGCCACACTAAAACCGATATTTCCATTATAGCACAATACAATTCTTCGGCACCTCACAAGTGTACATGGTACGTAACACGGTTTTTCGGTTAAAAAAAAACAAGGGCCTTCCGGTCAGCAGCAACAAAACGTGTTCCCGAGATTGGGGAGTTGGGGCGTTGTGAACGATCATGCCCTGGCGTTTAAATCTTGTCAAACAACGCCCATGACCGGGGCAAAGCAAGAGATTTGCGCCGTCGGCTGTGTCAACTCTTCGCGCGCAGCAGCAACGAACAGCAAGCAACACGCAAGCGCAGCCGTCAGGGCGGAGCAAACAGCCGCGGGTTCGCTCACCTTGTAGGTGAAAACCGACATCTGACCCTCGAAGCCTAAGATAGCCCCGTACACGTTAGGGATTCCCAGGATCTCGCACGCGTCGTTCACAAGGTACTTCGTAGGAAAATTGTCGCTCCCGTCCAACACCTGCGGATTTTTTTTTGCGCGCGCAGGACTTGCAGTTGAGACGAGGGCTGGATCTAAATAGCTACCAAAGCGCCGCTCAAAAGTGTGGCGGTAACAGGGGGCACGCCGACCGGGCCCAAAGCTAGGAACGGCTTTGGCGGGCAAAACTGAAAAATCTTGTCCAGGATATCAAACACGAATACTCCACACGCAAGACTACTGTCTTACGGATTTGGAAAAATTTTATTTTTGGTTCCTTGAGGTTCGCGGGGCTGTTCGAGTGCGAAAAACACGTCGGCGGTGTGGGCTGCTGAGCTTGGGAGGCGTGGCAGCCAGCTGTGGACTGGTCCTGCTGCCTGCTCTCAATCTCATCTTACGTCACCCCCTTTGATGACGCCGTGCTGCTCTCATGATCCCACTCCAAGCGGGATGGACCCCTCGTGGCAGACGAGTTTTGTAAGGCGCCTATCTTGGTTGTTGGCAGTCTCACCACATCGTAGCCGCCGCATATTCGGAGGGCGTTTTCGCTGGTGAGCTGCTCGTGGAAAGTTTCCACCTTGATGTGTGGGTTCACGTCCAGCATGCGGTCTCTCGCCGAGTCCACCTTCGGCTTCCCCAGGGTGGCGGTCCCGTGGATCACCTGAGCAAACGGGTAGGAGGGGAGTCGTGCATGCCGTAGTCTTTAGACCATTCACCTCGCATCATTCCTACAAAGCCGGGACGGAGCATGCCGGGTTCTCACCGGACAAGGCTCTCAAACGGCCAGGAGGGTAAGTGCAAAAGTCGTGTGTGTGCGCAACTACATAGGTAGACAAGCAAAAAAAGAGTTGAATCGAGGGAGAGATGTGGGTGGAAGGGGATAGATACAAAGCAGGCGCGCCGGCCTTGTCTACAGTCTACCACTTGCGCGCACCTACTGCTGCAGGTCCTATTGCCATCGAGAACAATGAATGCACCGATTGTAGGTCTTCGTAGACGCTGGTGCGAGTCAGCTCACAATGCTTTCGGCGAACGCCACCCGGCAATCCGGCAGTGAAGAGTGCCACTCTTCGTTTCAGGGATTTTCAGCAACCGAACCTGAAGTCTAGTTCTACAGCAGCAGTACACTATGTCGACACCCCCGTTGTAAAGTCGGATTGACAAAACCGCATGTCTTGACTCACAAAGGCAGTTCTGTCTCGACAACAGCAAGCAGTGCAAGATCTCCAGAAGATACATGTATCGCATACAAAAACAGCGCCCTCTCCCTCATCACCTGCCGTTGAAGATTCGACTCGTCTACCACGTCATCGTCCACGATCCCGAGCCGACCCACGCCGGCCGCAGCTAGGTACAGCAGCGCCGGCGACCCCAGCCCCCCCGTGCCTACGGCGAGGACCGAGCTAGCCTTGAGGCGCCGCTGGCCCTTGACCCCGACATCGGGCAGTATCAGGTGGCGAGAGTACCGCCGAACCTCGTCCTGGTTGAGCTCGGGGAGTGGTTCCTCGCCCTCCGGACTGCTGCCGTGCGTAGATCGTTGCTTCGAGGGAGACATGGACAGAGAGAACGCGGGTCGCGCTCGCCGCCGCCGCCCCCGCCTGCCCGTTGGTGTCGACGCCAAGGTTACTGAGCGGAAGGTGTTGCTGCTGCTGCCTCTTATCGCTCTGCTGCTGCTGCCGCCGCCGCGAGCATCGCGACTTGCAGCAGCTGTGGACCGCGAGAGAGAGGCAGCAAAAGCACTGGCACCCGTGGTGTGCCGGGAGGGAGATGTAGTGGCTGAGCAGGCGAGCGGCAAGATGAGCGTTGTCACCAGAAGGCAGAACATGAGGCGATGAGTGCAACAAGCTGTGAATGCGTTAGTGTAGTCCCGCCGCGTCCTCCCCCGAAAAGGCACTTTGTCGGTGGAGATGCCTGCCATCGTCCGAACAGAGCACACGGATAAGAAACGGGGTAGGTGCTCCACCACCAATAGCGTCGCCGAGAGATTGTGGCGGTCAGGTGGCAGCCGAGAGGCAGGGAGCAGCAGCAGAGTCCATGTTTGCCAACGTGGGGGGGGCGCAGAAGGGATATATCTGCTCAATAGCTCGCGGGCGGGGGGTGGGGGGGGGCAATTTGTAGAGATGATTTTCGCTTTTCCCTGCTGCTGCTTTTTTTCCCGAAAAAAAAAAACCCGGCACTGGATTATGCATGCAGGAGCCAGCCAGACACGTAACAACATCTTTCAAACTCGATTCCCGTCCCGCATCCGATTCTGGGGAAATTTTTGCGGTTTACTTTCCCGTTCCGGTTGGGTGAATAGATGCGGGAATCCCCATGGTGGTTTCAAACTTGCCCTCCCGCCTTTTTTCGGATTTTTTTCACGGCCGAATGCCAACCGCCGTTCGTTCGTTCCGCGCTTTGCTACTTTTTCTGGTGCACGAACAAACGTGAGGAGAACGCCCGGCTTTGGAGTTGAGTCAGAGGGCACACAGCTTTGGATTTCTCACTCGACAGACCACCTTTTTCTTTCGAGCTGAAAACTGCTAGGACATGGCATCCTACCACCGCTCACTGACTGCTGCTCTCTATCTATCTATCTATGCATTGAGCGTACAGGGAGGGGCAGTGGTGTGTGCTGATAAAACGACATCAATCAAGGAGAGAGAGAGCAGCAGCAGCAGCAGCAGCGGCGGCAAAAGAAATCCGTTGCGAAGTTCGTTCGGCTCTCTCTGGACATCCCCTGTCTTCCCCAAAGTTTTTTTCGACTTGGTGTTCTGGCAAGTAATAAGTGCATTTCAGGTGTATGTATGTATGTATGTATGTATGTATGTATGTATGTATGTATGTATGTATGTATGTATGTATGTATGTATGTATGTATGTATGTATGTATGTATGTATGTATGTATGTATGTATGTATGTATGTATGTATGTATGAATGTATGTATGTATGTATGTATGTATGTAGGTATGTATGTATGTATGTAGGTATGTATGTATGTATGTATGTATGTATGTATGTATGTATGTATGTATGTATGTATGTATGTATGTATGTAGTATGTATGTATGTATGTATGTATGTATGTATGTATGTATGTATGTATGGCATAGACCGCGCTAACCGGCTGACCAAAAGGTGTGCTTCATTCAGGTCTTGCAAAACGGGGAGAATTTCTGATAATATAAAGTCTATATATGTATGGGGAAAAAAGCACATATCTATTATATGAAAACACGCGGGAATTGACTCTTTATTATACGAAAACAGACGCCACGACGCCACAACGATTCCCGCGCCGAAAAAACGAACAGCCCGCCACCGCTTTCAAACTCAAAAAGGCGGGGATTCCCGCATATATATTTCTGGATTTTCACGTGCTGAGTGCCCGCATGCGGGAAGCGGGAATCCGAGTTTGAAAGACGTCTATTGGAGCAACATTCATTGCTGCTGCTCATTCCTGTGACCCCCTTACGCACAGAGCGGCTTGATCCAAGAGGAAACGAAGACAGGCCCCAGAAGGAAGGCAGAATCCAGCCTCATTCTGCTTGCGGTCGCGTTTATTCAAGGTTGCAAAGAAATAAAGAGAGGTGAGAGAGCCTAATGCGGGGGGATGGAAGATCCTCCGCGCGCGGACTTCTCGTCGACGGGAGCAAGCAGAAATATGTATGTTGTGCAGAGATTAGAGGTTTCGTATGTATGCAAGAACATTGGGAAACGCGGCGGGAAGCCCCCCGAAGAAGTTTGGCGCGTGACTTGACAGCTTGACTTGTTCGCTCACCCCGCCACGCGTGTGTGATGAGCTGAGCTCTGTGTCGAGGCTTGTTGATTCTTTTTCCGTTCTCTTCTTTGGCATCTGTGGTCCGTCCGGGCTACAACAACATGTCAATTTGTAGCCTTTTCTTGCTGAACGGATCGCCGCGCGTTGTGTCCTGGAAGACCTCCTGGGACCACAGACGACAGACTTCACTCGTTTGTATCTCTTACGGGACAGCAGGGCTTGCTGTCCCTTGCTAGGAACCTTGGTTGGCGCGCGATTGCATTAACTAAGTTGGTTGACGCTGAAATTATCGGCAGCGGACAGCGGCCTTTTTGTACGTTGAAAGCAAGTTGGGCATTTTTTCGTGTGCAACAATTCATCTACTACTGGTGGTATGTGTTATATATAGTTGGTTATAGGGGTAGCCGGGTAAGATACCCGTCTTCCACCGTCCTCTTCACGCATAGACTTTGTACGTACAAGGCATGTTGTATTGTTACTCCGGAGTATGCGGCAGGCTGGCTGATCGATGATGATCGGGCGATCGGCACGACGCTCGGGGAGAATCCCTGAAATAAATCCTCGTAGTAACCAGACGCAACACAGCAGCAGCACACGCAGACAACATGCGAGACAACAACCAGCACAGCAAGCAGCATACGTACGAGACTATACTGTAGGCCAAGGGCAGCCAAAAACACACATCACCAGTTGTGACTCTTAGAGCACATTGCCTGCTGCAGCACAAAGCGAGGGACGACGCAGCAAGACAACAATCTATCTGCGGTCCGTCTTCCCCATCTGGAGGCCGATCTTTGGAGCTTCCAACATGGACGCAACCCCAAAACAGAGACAATGAGACGTACACACTGCCGTACGTAGGCCAACGGCGGCCAAAGGCACACATCATGGCGTCGTAAGCGATTTCTAGAGGCGGAGGCCTGCTGCTAGGTATATATTCAGAATATTCCGACCACCTGGTGCCCAGATTACCGGGATTCCGACGTAGTCTATTCCAATGCGAATGAATGTAGGGAGGTAGCGGTACTACGATGAATGGTCGGTCTGTCTTTGCTCCGTGTTGCCTGGGAGTCGGCGATAGCGAGCGACTAAGAAAGAAAGGAAATACAAGAAGGGATCGGACTGAAGCGGAGGGGCTCTAACTTGCACACAGTGACCGGATACGCTCCACACTGCAATCTCGTTACAGCAGACAACGTTGCCGCCAAATGGTAGTGACACAGGAACGATGTCGTTCCGACATTTGGAGAGCTGAAAACAAATTTGGTCGGCTTGCATGCATACAGCAGTAACCCCCCCGAGAAGATGAGGAGAAAAGGGAAACAGCAGTGACACAAGACTCAACTCCCTTTTCTCCCGGTCCAGTATCATGTCGCGGTGTCCTAACCATACCACACGCAGCAGAATTCAGACATGGACGGACACGGAACATTTCAGCGCGCGCATTAGCCCTTAAAATTAATTGGTGCTCGTGGCACATTTTTTCTTTGCCGTGAACGCCTACCGCCTACCGCCTGAAAAGTACCGCCATATTGCAGTATGTACCGCCGAAGAAGCCGCCAAAAAACGAAGTACCGGAACCGGCTAAAAAGAACCGCCATATTGCAGTACGGCCAGAAAAGTACCGCCATAATTGGCACTACCGGGAACCGCCAAAGGCGGTACAGCCGGAAAATGAAATACCGCCTACCGCCAAAAATATACCGCCACATTGAAGTACCGCCCCGCCTGAATCCGCCTAAAAAACTAGTACCGAGGTGTACCCTGTTTTTTTCGCGTTTTCATGCGTGATCGCCTTCCGCCATGGCTCCGTTGTGGTGAAGATGTCGTTGATGGCCGCGTTCAGCTCGTGTTGACAACATCTTATATGTTTCAGATTGCTGCTGTGTTCGTATGTATGCCGATACGTTGTTTCGTTTTCCCGCAACTTCCGCCCCTGGTTGTGCTCCCCACAGGTATCTCCATCAAAATGGCTCAGACGGACCGTGCCGCATTGCTTGCCTTATATCACGCGACCGGCGGGCCCGCATGGACTCGCAACTACAACTGGGACACGGATTCCCCCATCTCGCAATGGTACGGGGTCACGGTCATCGGAGACCGCGTCGTGAAGCTAAATCTGATGTGCAACAACGTCCAAGGTAGCGTGGGCCCAAACTCTCTGGCGGTGTGCTTTACCGACTTCGTTGACCGAAAGTTCCCCTTTCTTAGCATGGCAAATTAAGTTTTACAACAAGCCATAAGACGTTGGTCTTCTGGGTACCTCCCCGTGTTCTGCACGCGGTCTACGCCCGAATATCTCTTGAGCGCATGTTCACCGCCTTGCCAGCATGCTTCGCAAATGATGCTGCCGTCCTCGTCAAGCGTACGTAGTGGACACCGAAATATTTCGTCTCCTGTCCCAATCCTTGAACACGCCACCTATCACATACCATGGCATTGAATTTCCTGGCTCTCAAGTGGCTTTGGTACGCGGGGGACATTCGGTATCACTTCTTTTACATGGCTCTGATGCGTGGCATGTTGTACTCTGGAGCCTTCTCGACCACGAACCCATTCATTTGCTGTCGCTTGTTGTAGCGATGCCTGCAAGCTTGTCGCGAATACTTGTGTATTCCGCCGTCCATTATGTTTGCCGGACGGCAATCTTGTACTCATGGGGCAATTTTACATAGTTTTCGTGTCATAAACGACACCTTCTTAGATCCTCTGTTGCCGAAAAGCTTATTGCTGTGCAGCAAAAGTGTTTTCAGCTCTCTGGGAGCTCCCACCCCTGCAGGGATGGGTGCACGAGCAACACAGCTCGCGGGGAGGGAGGCGTACTCATGTTTTGCATGCCTCAGCTGTTAGACCGTTGACCACGCGTCCACGGATGGACGGAGCATTGTACCCACAAAGCCGATCACCAACGGCCAATCGTTCCTTCCTACGTTGCCGAGGGTGGCTTAAAATACTTTTCTATCCTATCAATCCTACATATGTTTAATGTATCGATATCGCTTCCCCCCTTTCTATTCCCCAGTGTAGCTTTCGTTTTCTCCTGGCTTTTCTATGCCTCAAACAGCTCTCTTAACAACTCCCTTGAATTTGTCCCAGTTCAGTCATTTACATCTCCCTCTCTCCTTTTCGTAAAACGGACATGCTTCCAACACATGAACCCGGTCTTCGCACTCGGAGCGGCATTCACACTTGAACTTGTCGTCGTCTTCGTCTACCTTCCCAAAAGTTCGTCTGCGTTCTCGAACGCCAATGTCTCCAGTACTAAATTTGACCAGCTTTGTCCCTGCATCCATTGGGGCATGCAGGTCCTCCTTCAACCCAACTCCTTCTTCCAACATTCCGTACACATCTAAACCTTGCTTATCCTTGGTTTCTTTGAGTTGATTCCGTTCTTTTCTATCGGGAAACAACAGTTACCGCCCTCTTCAACCCTAGTAGTCCTACCGTTTCCAGTGTACCGACTTCGTCAATGTCGAACCCCTTGCATATATCCCCTACTTACACCCCCACTCTGCTGGGTCCTCACAATCCTCGTTGCACACACTTTCAGCGTTGGTAGACAAGCTCCACTTATCCGCGAAACTCTTCCCTGCGTCCATCTGCAGTTGAAGTCCCTCAAGGGTATCATACATCCCTACAAAATCGTTGTGGAACAGCATCCCCGACATTTAAGTTTTCCCTACCTTAACTCCCGTCCGAACCGCCTCAACGACTTTCAACAACTCGTTGATGAACACCGATACACTGTTGGGGACAAAGTGAAACCTTGTGGAACCCCTTAAACCAATTTTGAAGAGTGTTCATAGTTCTCCATCTAGCATCACGGCGCTTTTCGTGCAGTTGGCAACCTTCTTCAGCACCCTCCACATTTCCCCCTTTATCCCTTATTTGGACGTTGTTTCGAAAGCCCGTTTCTCCATACCGTATCGTATGCCGTATTTCACGTCCAAGAACAAGCAGTACGGCGGCAACCCCACCCTCTTCAAACCCTAGATGGTTCTCCCTAGCATAGTACGTGGTCTACGCACCCCACCTTACGTCGGAAGCCTGCTTGGTTCTCACTTATCCTACCTTCCTTCTCCATTACTCTGGGAGCTGACTCTATCATTCAGCAGGTTACAGAACACTCCCACCGTATTCAACAGCGTGATCCATTTATGTTCCTGAATCAGTCTTAATCTCCCTTCTTGAACAAGTTCACAACCACCCTTTTCCCTCCATCTTCTCGGCGCGTACTCATTTTTCCGCACCAAGTTGTACAGCAGCACCATCAGCTGGGTCACTCTCTTCCCCTCACTCTTCATGGATTCGTTGACTATCCCACCCGGCCCTGCTACTATGGCACTGCACAAAAGTCACAACATGTTCTCAATGAAATCCTTCTCTGTACCTCTATCTTCTCAAATCCTGCCTTCGATGCCTCTTCTTCTCCTTGGACCCATGTGCCCACCTCCTTCTTAAACACGTGGTCAACAATCTTCATTTTCCTACGGTAGTCTGAGCAATACAGCGGGGGTGAAAGTAAGTGAGAGAGCCTCAGCTGCATGAGTGAATCTCCGTGATCTCCTGGTAAGCATGTAGCACAACGGTGACGTATGAAATGAGTAAAACACGTCCCATATGTGTGGGCGTTTGCCCCCCGTACGTTGGGATTTATTCTGAAATTGTTGGGGAACCTTTTCTACGTCGTCGCTGGTTTAGACCAAGCCAGAATTTAATCAGTGCTGTAGTGTTTTCCAGCTTCAGCGGATTAGGTCGTTCAGCCAAGACCAAAAATAAGAGTGCAGCGACTTACAGAAAATCGATCCTACCAACACCTTGGCATGCGTCTTGTCGGTTCGCATGAAAACGTGACTTTAGTGACTCATGGGTTGGCCGGTTTTGATCAAGGTGGAGGCCTTGCAATGCTGCGAGCTCTCCTCTCCCGGGATGGGTCCTGTAGCAACAGAGTAAACACGAGAGGAGTATAGCACAGTAATCCCCCCGGCGTGTAGAACGTTCATTGCCAACGCGTGGGTGACTAGGTTCTATTTGCTTCGCCATGCAGGACGTTTTGTGGTAAACGGCGTGAAACCCTTGGGCAAATTAAATCGTTGGACAAGCTCCTAGCCGGTAATGTAACAGTTCCAAAAGCCTACCCTCACCTTTTGTCTTCGCTCTCTGTTCGTGAACGTGACGACTCACGGAGGCCTGAGCTGTTTCCTTTGTCTTCTCTCTAATCCCCCTCTCTCGAGCTGATGTCTCGAGACCGGGTCTTGGCGTGGTTGGAGCTGAGATTAATGTACAACCGGTCGCAATACGTTCAAATAACACGACGGCACGTGTTCCGAATGAGAAGTGGACAAGTGTGCACGCGACACGTTTACAATGGACAGTGTTTACAGAGTTCTTATTCTTCACGGGGGTGGTTTTGACGAGAAACCGGGTGCTTCGTCGACAGGTCTCAGGCACGAGACCGCCTCCTCGAAGAAACGTAACGGTTTCGTCTTTGTCGAAGCTTGCGGTTTAACCACGGACGTTTCGGCATCCGTAGGACAGACGAGGGAGCATGCGACCGCTCTGGATCCCTGTCCTTACTCGGAGTATGTCCCTTACTTAACCCTAGTATCGTGACCAGTACGGAAAATCGCGTACTTGGATTCAGTCACGGCACATCGTCGTATATAGGGTATCCACACACACCAACTCCTTGGGACTTTTTCCTTCATATGCAAGGAAACAGCATCACAAAGAAATCACTATTTTAAAGACATATTTTTTCAAGACACGGACATTTTTAGTTTTATTTGGATGTGTCCTTCGTACGTATTATTGCACAGAAACGTTGGTGAGTCTGTCACCACAAGTTCAAGAAACAACAATTTGTTGTTCGTATTCAGAGGTCCAGCAATATGCTTGATTTGACTTTCATGTCTGTCTACAGGACACATGCCATCTCTCACCTAGGAAATCTTAGGGCCTTGGATGGCCTCAACCTCATATTGACAACCAGGTTTGGTTATTTCGACTTCCGTAGAAAGAACAAGTGTGAATGGAATGCAGCGCGTGGTGGGTGAGCACGTGGTCTAGTTCATATGATCGTGCGTAGGCCATCACACGTGGTAGAAACAGCCGATTTTATTCTCCGGACTTACTTGCATATCTACAGGAAAAATACCACCGCAGCTTGGGGATCTTCGCGCCTTGGAGGCACTGGACCTCAGCTTGAACAAGTTGAATGGTGAGCCCAAGAGGTTGAACAGAGAATCGAGTGATTTCGGCTTCTGCGGGCAGCGTTGATTTCTAGTGTGCTGAAACCAGAATGACGTTGCCCGCCCCTTATCGGCAAGTTGGTACTCGGACAGCCAGAGCTGCTTCAACTCCCTCTAGCCTCCCAGCTCCACTGGGATGCGCCCTGCAAAAATCGGTACAGAGGGTGATGAGACAACGGGTGCACTTTGTAATTTGTTGAAGGGCTGCCTCATCTCCTTGTAAGATGTGTCCTGCCAACGCATCGGCGGGATTCATTCTGAAATTCCTGTAAACGTCTCACAAGTCAGTTGGTTACGGAGAAGGTTGAGCTCTCTCAGTGCCGCGAGCTTTCCCAGCTCCGGCAGGTAAAAGCTGCAACCAGAAGAGCCGTTCGAATATTGCGGGGAATGAAAAATGCATTATACCGGCTGTCTTTATTCTCGATCATCGATCTCCGTAGATCTTGGTCCGCCAATGCGTGGGCAGGACACATGCATATTCTCAACAGAAAAAGCAACCCCAGGAGCTTGCGTGGGCGTGACATCTGTGTTTCGCACTTATTGTGTGGAAAACTAATCCGCTGCATTTTGATTTTGTCATCTCGCCCTACAAACTCGTGCAGGAACCATACCCGAGGCGCTCGGGAACCTCTCAGCTCTGGTTTCCCTGTGGCTCAGCAATAACAGCCTGGAAGGTGATCGAACAATCTTACTTTTCTGAAGAATAAATCAAGCAATATGGAACACTATTGTTATTTTTCTAGAACAAGATACGGTATCCGTACATGCGGTTGGCGTTGGCGGGACTGCATCTACGGAGATCGTCTTGTTCCATAAAAATACGTAACAATGTTCACTTTTGCTCGGTTTGTTCTCAACTGTCAGCTTATTGATCCCCACGTGGAGAGTTTTCAGGGCACCAACGTTCCCCAGCTCAGGGGGAATGGGACCTGCAGCGCACGCAAAAGTCCAACTTTAGAGAGGTCAGAACGTGGGTCCCGCGGCTTCTAGAACATGTACAGTATCATCTCCGTATGCATAGATCGCGTCTCGCCCACGCGTTGGGATCCATGTTTACGTTGGTGGTGTTTCTTGATGCGGGGTAATTTTCTTTTGATCCCCCGCCAAATTCGCATTTACTCTTCTGCTTGCAGGCCCCGTTCCGCCGCAGCTGCGGAACCTTGCGGCATTGGAGAAGCTCTCCCTACGGAGAAACCAGCTCAGCGGTGAGTCACTGTTTGGGCACAGAAATGTCTGGTACTCCCCATTTCAAGTTTTGAAGCCTTGGAAGTTGATCGTGAATCCCTTTCGACTTCTACAGAAACACATATTATATGGACGCCGACGCGTGGGCGGGACTGATTATTCGAACCTGATCACAACAAATTTCCGGTAGTTTCCCACTTTTGGTTGTATCTCTGTGCTGAGGCCGAGTCTTACGTCGTGATTATGTCGGATTTTTTTTGCTCTCGGTCGAGGGGGGGTGGTCTGCAAGGGAAAAATTATCTGGATCCAAACGACCTTCTTACTGTTCCTCGAGACAATTTTTTTTCTCAGGGGAAAAAAAGGGTCGATTCAGGTCTTTGTGGGTCACAACATGCTTCAGTTCACAGTTTTGGCTCGTGTGCGACCAACAAGACACCGAGTGCCCTGTTTTTGGGTCGCCTCCAGAGGGCATGTATACAATCGCACGCCAGTGACTGCAGTTTGTGGATGTCGTCGGCCGAAGGCCTCTCTCTGGCATGCGTTGTGGATTGATCACGCTCGGAGCAACCAGAAAAAAAAAGGCAACGTTAAAAAAAGTCAACACCGCAACACACTTCGGTTCACGTTTACAGGCCGTGCGCAATCAAAACTGGACAATACGCTCTGCTTCTGGGACGCGAGCAGAGCGATTGTGTATGATCACACGCCATTGGCAGTAGTTTGTGGATGTCATCGGCCGAAAGCCTCCCTCTGGCATGCGTTGTGGACTGGTAGCGGGTGACACACGGAGCAAACACGCGGCGGAACAAGAAAAATGTCCAAAAAGTCAACACCGCAACGCACTTCGGTTCACGTTTACAGGCCGTGTGCAATCAAAACTGGACAATACGCTCTGTTTCTGGGACGCGAGCAGAGGGTATGTATATGATCACACGCCACTGGCTGCAGTTTGTGGATGTCGACAGCGTAAAGCCTCTCTCTGGCGTGCGTTTTGACTGGTCACACATATATGCAGCAGGCACAAAAACGGCTCTTTTCGGCCTAAAGGCAACAACGTCAGCAGAGCAATTTGGCAGGGTTGACGTTATGGGCTCGTGTGCTGCCAACACGACGCAGAACGGCCTGATTTTTTTTTACCTGCAGAGGGTTTGTGCATGACCTCATGATACTGGCCTCTGTTTGGCCAGCAGACGGTGTAGTTCCTCGTTCTGGCACGATCGGGGTGTGACCAGGGGGTGACCCCCCCCAATTCCAAACTGGAAATTATCAGCCGATCCTGTTTGGAAAATGGGCCTATTTTCCAACGCGGCAGCTGGGATCCTAGGAAATATTCGGCGATTTGGAATTTGGGCGTTTGGAATTGGCCAAATTCCTCCGCGTAAGACGCTCAAATAATTATTTGGGCTGAAAAGCCCCCCCCTCTAAAAGAAAAACCCGAAATAATCACGACGTAAGACTCGGCCTGATCTGGGCAGGGCCGATACCAGAGGAGCTGGAGGATCTCACTGAGCTTAAGGAGCTATGGTTGGACAACAACAACCTTACGGGTAAGGGATGCTGGATTCGGCACGATGTCTCCTCTACGTCTCGGGTTGTTTGAACTTGTGGAAACTATGATCTGCCTATGCGTGACCGGGACACGATCGACGGAGATCGATATTGTACACGTTCTAGAAGCCGCGGAACACACGTCAACGTTCTGACCTCTCTAAAGTTTGACTTTTGCATGTGCTGCAGTTGAGCTGGGGAACCTGGGTACCCTGACAACACTCGACCTGTGGGGATCAATGAGAACAAATCGAGATTAATTGAACACTCTGTTCTTGTTTTTTCTACAAGACGGTCTCCGTAGATGCTGCCCCACCAACAACGCGTACGCGGAATTCATGCACGTTCGGAACTCGAAAGAAAAAAAACGCTTTTCGATCTGTTCAACTCGCTATCTAACTTGTTGTTGGAGGGGTAGCGGTGAAGAGATCAAAAGCGTTTTTTTTTCTGTCGAGCTCTGAACATGCATGAACCCCGTCCACGCGTATGGGGGATTCATGCATGTCTAGAATTTGAAGGAAAAAAACACGCTCTTCGATCTGTTCAACTCACCATCATCTAACTTTGTGTTGAAGAGGTTGGGGTGCTCGAGGGCGCCAAGATCTCCTAGCTGCGGTGGGATGGGGCCTGTAGACGAACGAGTCAAAGAAGAGCACTTTGGCGGTGTAAAGCAAAAATATCCCCCGAGTTCTAGAACATCGGTCCCGCCTGCGAGTTGGCAGGACCGATGGTCTAGAAAATCCGTCATACGTTTGGAAACCGACAATAGAAATAGTCACGTTGACGCACTCCTCACCGTCAAAGCCTCTGCAGCTGATTTAGAGCTCCTAGCTCTTTGGAGATGTGTCCTTTGCAAGTAGCATATCAGCGGGCATACGAAAGTGAATGAGGGGAGTGCGAAGCTTCTACAACATGTGTCCCGCCTACGCGTGGTGGGAAAATATCCACGGAGATCGACGCCTTAGAATAAATACATGTGTGTTCCACGATCCACCCACGAACGGAATGTCCCTTCCCATCCCACAAATACCACCATGCAGGCGAAATCCCGGCGTCGCTAGGAGAACTCGTCAAGCTGGAAACGCTTTACCTCGGCGGAAACAAACTCAGCGGTAAGTTTCTCCGACAGACTCGGCGCGTTTGCAGCACACCAGATTTAATCCTGCCCGCGCGTGTGCGGGATCGGTCTTCTAAATCTTACATCGCAACCTGTACTGTCAGGTAACTCCGTAGGAAGAGCAGTGAACGAAATCCACGGCATGGGTGAGCAGGTGGTATAGTTTATTTGATCGTGCGTAGACCATGACATGTTGTAGAAACAACCGACTTTTCCTTCGGAATTCCAACCATATGCCGTGCTTCGACTTCCTAATCTACAGGACACATCCCACCAGAGTTAGGAAATGCTAGCGCCTTGAAGGCACTGGACCTCAGCTTCAACAAGTTGGACGGTGAGTCCAGGAGGTCGGATGGCGGAATTAGCTATTTCGACTTCTTCTTCTGTAGAAGCAACAGTGATGAATCCCACACACCTACACGTGCAAAATGATTGCCACTCCTCTCACCTGCGAGTTGGGTGGTGGTAAGGTCAAGAACCGTGAGCTCCGCAAGGATTCCCAGCTCTTTAGGGATGGAACCAGCGAGCAGTGAGTTGACAGCCGAAGGTAACTGGTTCCTTTTTTTATATGTCGGCGTACTAGAAAGCAAATATTTGGAATAAGTGATCCGTTCGGAATGGGCTCATGATAGTACAGTGTCAGTGTCATCAAGGAGTGATGCAAGGGTGTGCAAAAAACTAAACACGTTATCCCACACCCCCGAGAGGACCCAGCATTTGAAAAAAAAACTTATTTTCCTCATGATACTTTTTTTCATCTTATGTATTCAATAATGCATGTCAAACCTATTTAACTTGTCGTGCACAGATGACACGCAGTGTGACACTAAAATGCGCCTTACATGCCTGTCCTTGGGGGAGAAACCACGCATTATCCACACGACATCGTCGAATGAATTTGCGGTGACTCAAAGCCCGGAGTAGCATCACGCCTCTACGCGCGTGAACGAAGAACCCCAAACCTCGACGGAAACCGCGGTACCCTATGTCATGTGGGAGCTCGCACGTAGGTGGGAGTGTTACGTTCGCCTACCGTTCCACCTACCACTGTCCGACATTCTCGCACGCAGAACTACGCCACCCAAAACGAACGCCTATTCGGGGTGAGTTTACGCCACATCGAACGTACGTTCGGCTCCTCTTCTTCCTTCTTCTCCTTCTCCTCCTCCTTTTCCACCGCGTCCTCCTCCTCTCCCCTTCCTCCTTGTCTTCTCCCCCTTACCCCGACCCCTACCCCCCTACCACCATGTTCCTCACACTGCGCTCTTCCCTTCTTCGCTAGACTCCGAATTGACATCTCCCACTGCGCGCCAAGAGCACTTTTTACTGTACTCTTGCGCCGCAACAGCCTAGGCCAAACCTATTACACCCCTGAGGGTGCGCTGTGATCGTGCTCTCTCTAGTCGTCTAGGTGTAGTACACCGTGCAGCGTGTAGGCGCGGCGAGCGCACACCGTAGGGGCACGCAGATGCACAATATCCCCCCTATACAGGCACGATCCCCCTTCAAATGTAAAGAAGACCAATCAGTAACCAGAAACGGGTTACCCGGGTGGTGTATCACCTTTTTGGGGTACACTTTAGCAACTCAACACACATGCACCCCCAGGCAGCCAGCTGATTGGCCAAAACACCATCGTACTCACTTTTGGAGAAACCTCCACCGGGTACAAGTCCCGCCTGCATCTCGACCCTGCAAACGATGCTGGTTACTGGTGTACCCCGATTTTACCTCCAGAAATGGTCCTGTAATCCCGGCGCCCGACGACCCTGAAACCCGCAAAAAGAACCGTGAACCGCACATACCCGCACAACACACCGTGTACCGCACGTACCGCACAATAGCCACAAAACCAAAAACCACAAATGCTCGTTGAAGGGACCGCCTCCAAAGGATACTAATCTCCGACAGCCTCTTCCGTAGATCTCGGCGCAACCAAACCGTCGTGTCCTGTGCCTCGGAGGCTTGACGAGGCAAGCATGAGGCAGGTCGTGCCCGTTTTGTTTCTCTGTGCCTCTCTGTGCTCGCTTATCAGCACCACAGCGAGCTAACTCGCGCGTCGAGCGAGTTCGACCCTCTTGGGAGAGGGGCCGGTATCCTCTGGAGGCGGTGCGCATCAACGAGCGTTGGTGGTTTGGTTGTGTGGCTAATGTGCGGTACGTGCGGTACACGTGTGTTTTTCTGCGGGTTTTAGAGTCGTCGGGCGTCGGGATTTTTTTGATCATTTCTGGGTACAAAATCGACCCCTTCCGCCTACACTGGGAACCAGCGTCGGTTGCACTAGAGGGTCTCCAGATGCCACTGGCTACCTGAGTTCTAAGTCTACCCGGTTGTGGTTATTGTTTTTTCAAGAAATTGGTATGGTCAGATTTTATATAGGATGTAATAGACCGTCCGCGGGGGGGGGAATGGTCATTTCGTATCCTCCCCCCCAAAAATCCTCCCAAAAAAGCGAGTACCTAGGTGAGCTCACCCTTGAGGGTTGCAACTGTTACGTAAAACAGCAGCCTTTCAGGACCGCCCATTGCTGGCTTCCAGCTGCCATTGTGACGTTTCCCCAGCTCAACAGGTCACAAGCTGACATCGAACATCTTGCGAACGTCACGATTTATCTTTTCTAAAAAGTAGTACAATTATATGCAATGTCGCATGAACATGTATCAGATTTCCTAGCTCCGGCGGGATAAGACCTTTAGCGACACAGCAATTATGAATTCAGCTGGAAAAAGGAAATTATCCCGGAAAATGCCCTGGTGGTCCTTTCAGCACCAACTACTCACCCACGCCACCATAGGCAGGACGCATCTTCTGCAGTCTAGTATTTCGGGACAATGTTGTTGTTGTTGTCTTCACATTTAAAACCGTTTCAATCTCTGTATCCAGTACCTTCTTGTGTCCGCACTAGTCTAACACTTGGCGCGGTCGATTCCCGCGGTCACAGACCAACTTACCCAAAAAAGGTATACGAAAACAAAATGGACCCGAAGTGTCTGCAAGTCAATAGAAATCAACGACAGAAAGTCTGGGACACTCCGCTCGCCTCTACACGCTATGCGAGGTAACCAACCATAGACTGGAAAAGGAAAGAACACGACAAAGAAAAGGAAA